CCTCTCTATACAACCTCGACCTGCCGGTCGGCGCGGCCAGAGTACTGCAGATCTCGGGTAATCTCGGGTAATCTCGGGTAATCTCGGGTAATCTCGGGTAACCTGCCGGTCGGCGCGGCCGAAGTACTGCAGCCGTTCGCCCGCGTCGCGGCTGCCCAGGTCGCCGGTGCGGTAGAGCAGTCCGGGGCCTAGCGGTGTAGTGGTCCGAAGCGTCCTCACCCACGACAGTCGCCCGAGCGGCAGAGAGCAGCCACGCGCCGTCCGGGAGGTGTGGGGAGATGTGGGGAGATGTGGGGAGATGTGGAGAGATGTGGGGAGATGTGGGCAGAGAGCAGCCACGCGCCGTGCGGGAGGTGTGGGGAGATGTGGGGAGATGTGGGGAGATGTGGAGAGATGTGGGGAGATGTGGGCAGAGAGCAGCCAGCGCCCTGCGGGAGGTGTGGGGAGATGTGGGGAGATGTGGGGAGGTGTGGGGAGATGTGGGGAGATGTGGGCAGAGAGCAGCCAGCGCCGTGCGGGAGGTGTGGGGAGATGTGGGGAGATATGGGGAGATGTGGGCAGAGAGCAGCCAGCGCCGTGCGGGAGGTGTGGGGAGATGTGGGCAGAGAGCAGCCAGCGCCGTGCGGGAGGTGTGGGGAGATGTGGGGAGATATGGGGAGATGTGGGCAGAGAGCAGCCAGCGCCGTGCCAGCGCCGTGCGGGAGGTGTGGGGAGATGTGGGGAGATATGGGGAGATGTGGGCAGAGAGCAGCCAGCGCCGTGCGGGTTGAGCACGAACTTCTCCGCGGTGAGCTCGGGCCGGTCCAAGTAGCCGTAGGCGACCTGGGGAGATGTGGGTAAGGTAAGGTAAGGTAAACTTCTCCACACACACGAGGTGGTGGGGCAAGGGGGATGTGGGGAGATGTGGGGAGATGTGGGGAGATGTGGGGAGGTGTGGGGAGATGTGGGGAGAGTTAAGGTGGCCATACGCGACCTGGATGCCGCCGATGGAGATCTCGGGTCATCTCGGGTCATCTCGGGTCATCTCGGGTCATCTCGGGTCATCTCGGGTCATCTCGGGTCATCTCGGGTCATCTCGCGACCTGGATGCCGCCGATGCAGATCTCGCCGCGCTGGCCGGCCGGGAGAGGCGTCGCTGGGTCAGAGGGGTCGAGT